GTGGCCTTGTCGGAGGAGGTGTGTCACTAGGAATGAGCTTTCAGGTTTCAAAAGCCAATGCCAGGCCTAATGTCTCTCTCTTTGCGTGATGCCTGAGGATAAGATATAAAGCCCTCAGCTACTGTTCCTACGCCAGACCTGTCTGTTTCCAGTCATAGTCATGATGACCATGGACGAATCCTCTAAACTGTAAGCAAGCCCTGCTTAAGTGCTTTTTTTATAAGAGTTGTCTTGGTCATGCTGTATCTCCACAGTAATAGAACAATAACTAAGACATGGTTCTCCCCTAATCAGTTCTCAACCTATGGGTCGCAACCCTTTGGGGGGGTTGAATGATCCTATCATAGGGGTCACATATCAAATATCCTGCATATCAGATATTTATATTACAATTCATAACAGTAGCAAAATTACAGTTATGAAGTAGCAACAAAATAATTTTATGGTTGGGGTCACCACAGCATGAGGAACTGTACTAAATAAAGGGTCACAGCACTAGGAACATTGATAACTAAATGATTGGGGCTTTAGTTTTCTTTCACAGAATATAAAATTTTGCGTCAATAGCTATTTTAGGTTGACATTCTGAATCACACACTATGAATTATTTCTTTTTCTTCAAGACATTAGGTTTGATTTTACCAGTAAATTTGTCAGATCACCTGGTTCTTCCTTGGCAATACTTTGCTTTAGGTGTTCTTTAATTTTGCCTTTTCTACTAGAGCATTGATGTCAGAACACTGTCCAGGAATGGAATTATGTGAGGAGAATTCTGAGTGCTTGTGAGAACACTCCAAGAAAACAAGACAAGAGTCTTGTAACCTCAGTTTCTTCAAAAACACAAAACTATTCTTGGAATATGTTTTTGTGCCCCTCCTGGGTGTGCTCCTCCCAGGTGTAGCACAGGAGTGAGTTTACTTCAGATAACTCATTATCGCTTGCTGTTGTTATTGAATTAAATGTTTAAACTATCCTTTATATGCCTCAATGGAAATTTTATATAGCTTGAACTCATAAGAACTTTACTCATGTGACCTTTCTTAACACTCAGAGTATAAATTGTCTGTGGTGCTGATAAAGTTGGCATGAAACTTTAGTTTACCACCTCATTTATCGGTTCCATTTCCCCAGGTCCCACCGCCTGTGGTGACGCATTGCCTTCTAGGGTCTCAACAAAAAGCATAAAATGTTCCCTAATATCTGTTCATTTTGGCTGGGCAAGAACTCTTTATCACTCTGTGCTTTTAGCTCAGCTCAGTTTAGCTTAGCTCAGTTTAGCTCAGCTTTCAGACTTTGAGTACCTGTTTTCTGTTAGGACTCCCAACCACAGCCTTTCCGTGTTAGGAGGACCTACTGTAAAGAGCTTATAGGGACTATTTAATGCAGAATTTCAGTTCTTTTTTTTTCCTGGAGCTGAGGACCGAACCCAGGGCCTTGCGCTTGCTAGGCAAGCACTCTACCACTGAGCTAAATCCCCAAGCCCAGAATTTCAGTTCTTTTACTGGGGCTCCTTCCTCTTTAGGAGCACTTGTACTTCTTTCTCCTTTGTTCAGAAAAACAAACAAATAAACAAACAACCCCCCCCCCAAAAAACCAAAACTGATGTCTTCACTTGGACTTTATGAATATGCCCACTATAATTGTGATATAAATGTAGGTCTCATTTAAAAAAAAAGATTGCATTCTTCCTTGGTGGCTGTGAAATATACTGTATTATGTTTCTGTCTAATTCTGTATTTATTTGTAGTGAGATAGCAGATATTAGATTCTCTATTGTGGCTAAAACAGAAAGTGCACCATGATTAAAACTTCAAAGTGAAATGACTTAATATAACTGTTTTTTCACCTCTGACTTTATTTACTGGTATAGAGAGGACAAAACTGGATTTTATCCAGAATTATGACTTAAGTAGTAATAAAGTAAAAGAAAGATAAAGGATAAAATAAACCCAAGGGAGTGATCATATTGTTTGACTATACAGTTTAAGAACAGAGGGGTTTTATGAAGAGGATGAGGGTCTGGCAAAGTTGGTACCAATACATAAAAGATCTTGGTAGTGTCAAGAAATTGCTAAAGCTGGGGTAGAAAAGGATAGAAAGATGCAAGGTAGGAGTCAGATAAGGGGCACATGAAATTGTGGCAATGAGAGGAATACAGTTATAGGTATTGTTAAGGTTGAAAGTGTGAGAAATGACAAGATCACATACAAAAAGTGCTCAAGCCATGAGATCAGAGAATGGGAGGAACCACTGACATATGTATTAAGATGACTATTGTGTCCTTGCTGTATAGAAGCTTTTCAGATTCATGAGATTCCCATTTATTGTTATTCTTAGTGCCTGTGCTACTGTTGCCCTGTTTAGAAGTCTTTTCCTGTGCCAATGAGTCCAAGCCATTTCCCTACTTTCTATTCTATCGGATTCAAGATATCTGATCTTCTGTTGAGATCCTTGATCCATCTGGAGTTTTGTACAGTGTGATACACATCTATTTGGAATCTTCTACATGGAGCCATTCAGTTTCTCCAGTGTGTACTTTTGGCTTCTTTGTCAAAAATCAGGTGTCTGTACATATGTGAAATTGAGGTTTCAAAACAAAAACAATCTAGGCACCAAATATTATGGGAGACAATATCCCAACTAGACATCTTCTAGCACCAAGTAAAACCACCAGTGCCAGGAATATTGATGTTGGCCAAAGGGGTCCCATAGAGACACTACCGCTAAACATCACAGGCTACTGCCAAGGCTTATTGGCTGTTCTCCATAACCTGATGGTAAGGTCCTACTGCTGAAAAAAACACTTACGACATCGAACACAGAGAAGTTGAGCTGGTGCCTAACTAGAAGTTTTACCCTTACTGATTAGCGTTCATGATGCTGGAAGGTACTCTGCATGCACTAGAAGAGAAAGGTTATTAATATCACCCAGCTACCTACAACAGCAACCTGCCTGCAAGACACCCTGGTGCAATAGTGTCATAAATGGGACAGGAATGACCTTTCTGAATGGATTTAAGGCACACTCTATGAGATGGAACCCATATCTGACACTGCTAAAGTAGCTAAGAAACTAAGACTAGATAGGCTATGGGCCTAGGGGAAAACCTACTATTATTTGGCTAAAGGAACATAAGTAATCTAATGACATAGTACTACACTCGTAGATCAGCAGCTCACTTAAGCCATATCAGAAAAATTTCGTCTTGCATAAGATGAGAATTAACAAAGTCCCACAACTGGAAAATGTGCAAAGATTGAGAGATTTTAGAAAACTCAGTCCTAAATGGGATGTCTTCATAAAAGTCCTCCCCTCAAGGCTCAGGAATTAATGTTGGAAGAGGAAGCAGAAAAGACTGTAAAAGCCAGAGGTGACAGTTGACTCCAAGAAAACAGTGTCTTCCAAATACAATAGGACTGATGCACATATGCACTCACAGGACTGTGGTAACACACAAGATTTGTACAGGTTAAAGCCGGATGGGGTCCCAGCACTGAAAGGAGAAAATGGACAGGGCATCCCATCCCTAACCAATAAGGTATTTGCAACTGAAGACCTGCAAACAAAGAGAAACATCAGTTTTCTCTAATGGAGTATCACTTTGTGTATCAACCACAGTCTAGGGCAGACTATGCCTAGAAGTAGTTAGCCAACACAAAATGAACTCAATGATATCGCTGTAACCTTTTCTTTTGGTTTTTCAAGACAGGGATTCTCTGTGTATCCTGGAACTAGCCCTGTAGACCAGGCTAGCCTTGAACTTTGAGATTCACTTACCACTGTGCTTACTAAGTGCTGGGATTAAAGGACAGTGTGGCACTTTTTTTTTTTTTTTTTTTTTGTCTTACTGGTCTTTTGATTGTTTATTTTGATTTTCATTTCTATGGTTTTGGTTTTTGTTTTTTTTGAAAGAGGAAAAAAAACAAAGATGGGTGGGTAGAAAGGAGGGGAAGATGTGGGACAAGTTGGGGGAGTGGAAAATGATAAAAAATATAGGCAGTGGTGGTGCATGCCTTTAATCCCAACACTTGGGAGGCAGAGACAGGTGGATCTCCGAATTAGAGGTCAGCTACAGAGTGAGTTCTAGGACAGCTAGGGCTACACAGAGAAACCCTATCTCGAAAAACCATCATATATATATATATATATATATATATATATATATGGTGTGTATGTGTGTGTGTGTATATATATATATATATATTACATATATTTATATGAAATGAAAAAACTCAGTAAATAAAAAAAAAGAAAGATGACCACGAATTAAGATAGGAAGGGAGTCTCATTTGACAGGGTGATGAGGAATGACCATTGAGTGACGAGAATTTGGATGGTTAAGCATCAGCACATAATGAAAGGATGTGGCTACAGAACGTGACAACACTTCATCTACAGCTGCAAGGATTAAGGAATGGCACGTAAGAGATCACTATAGCAATTCTTCTCAAAGACTGGATTTTCTATGCTTTCACACTCTTCAACTGTCAGGAGACCTCAGTGGACGTGCTTGAGAGCTAACATGCTGAAGGAATATTCAATTATAGCTGAATTTCAACTAGCCTAAAAATTCTTCTTGCACCAAAAACCTATATCAATGTCTTAATTTTTACAGTAAAATAGTTTATTTTTCCTCTTATTACAAGAGGAAACAATGCTTCTCAAAACAATCTTTTGAGTCTAGAATATCACAATTCTAGAAAAGAATACTTGGGGGGACAGATATAACCTAGGATATTTAAGATATGCTTTTGATATGAGAGTACAGAACATATAAAGGGCTTTTTTGGAAAACATCTTAGAGAAGTCGAAGTGAATGTAGGACACACCTCCTGTGCTTGCTCAAGGATTCCAGCTCTCATGGATTGCTACATACCCAGTGCCAAAATAAACGGGTAGGAAAGGAGAAACAGTCTCTCTCCCTCACATTCTTGCTGAGTGTACCCCTCATTAAAGTCTCTGTTGGGATAACTAAAGAGCTAGAGAAACACAAGCTTACCTGGATATGGCACTCTCCCCTTGGTCACCAGCTCTGTCTGTAGAATTCCAAATGACCACACATCGGACTTTATTGTAAACCGACCATACAGTGCAGCCTCAGGAGCTGTCCACTTGATTGGAAATTTTGCACCTAAAAATAATAGTGACAATCTTAAATGTTTCTGAAGAGCCTATCTGTGTAAATGTAAGGTATACGGGTCTAATCTCTATCAATAACCCAATTCTGTGTGTCTTAAGTTTAAATCTTCAAACACAGAAAATATGTGGAAAACTGCACTGACTTTAAATTTTTACACTAAAATAAATCTGTTTTTTCTTATATTTAATGCTATAAAAAGTTGCTGGTGGGAACAGAACATGATCCAATAAAACAGCAGAAGTTTTAATAAGACAAAAACATGGATTGTAAAATTGAAAATTTGGGAGAGGGGAGCACATGGGATCCTGATCTTGCTATATTTATTTTAGGCTACTCTTAAATTCTCACAATTATGGCTGGGTGGGCATGGTGATGCACACCTTTAATCCCAGCACTCAGGAGACAGAGGTAGGAGATCTCTGTGAGTTTAAGAGCAGCCTGGTCTACAGAGCAAGTTCCAGTACATCCAGGGATAGAGAAACCCTGTCTTGGAAAAAAAAAAGTCTCACAATACTGTGTCAGCCTTTTGAAAATTGGGATTACAAAAATTTGCTAAATCAAGCTAAATCTGTTGCTGTTTTTAGTGTGTGTGTAAAATATGTGATGAACAAAGATTAAAACTTCATGCATTAGTCTCTCCCTCTGTGTGGCTTTTTGAGAAAGCGTCAGCTGGTCTCTAACATGCTATTTTTTGAAGAAAGACCATGAACTCCTGATCCTTCTGCCTCTAACTTCCAAGTGCTAGGTTTAGAGACATGAGATATTACATTATTATAAAATCTACAACTTTAAGTTCACGACATCCAGTGGCTGTAACCAATTACGGTTGAAAACCCATTCTGGGTCTAATGGCTATTGGTTCATAACCTTTATGTACTTTTGTGCTATCTTTGCAGAAGTTTTTTGTGGTGGTGATATTTTGCTTGTGCTCTAACAAATAAAGCTTGCCTGGAGATCAGAGTGTGGAGCCAGCCACTAGTTAACCACAGAAGCCAGGCAGTGGTGGCACACATCTTTGATCCTAGTACTTGGGAGGCACATGCCTTTTATCCCAGCACTAGGGAGGTGGAGAGAGGATTTGATAAGGCTGGGTGGAGAGAGCAATATAAGGCGGGAGGAGACAGGAGCGGAACCACTTTCAGGCTGAGGAGTTGGCAAGGTAAGAGGTAGCTGTGGCTTGCTCCTTTGTCTTTCTGATCTTTCAATATTTACCCCAATATCTGGCTCCAGGTTTTTATTTAAGACTAATTAGGATTCCTGCTACAGTTTTTTATTGTTGTATCATATTTTTTATTGTGTGTTTGTGTGAGTGCACATGTGCCATGGCACTTGCATGGAGGTCAGAGGACAACTCCGTGGAGTTGGCTCTACCTTTCTACCTTTGTGTGGGTTCCAACGACCAAACTCAGGTCACCAGGCTTGAGTAACAAGCACATCTGCTAGCTGATTCATTGCACCAGCCCTTGTGTTAGCATTTTTAAAACACTTTGTTAATTTACACAAATATTTAGTGTAAGGCTTTAAAACACAAGCATTTTGCTAATTATTGTGGATACACAAACAATACAGCTTTCATGAAATTTATATTTTTATGCTATATATACCTGAAGTGATTTTATATGTGTGTGTGTGTGTGTGTGTGTGTGTGTGTGTGTGTGTGTTGTAAAATAAGAGTTCTTAGATACTATGAAAACTAGTTCAATTTTCATTTGTCACATAACAAGTCTTCATTAAACAGTGGCAACTAAATTTAGCCTTAAACAAATGGTTAGGATTTTCTAAGTAAGGACTACAGGAATACATGACTAGTTGGAGGAAAGTATATGTAGGGTAGAGATAGAAAAGAAATGGAGAGGGTCGTGAGATGACTCAGCAGTTAAGAGTACTGGCTACTCTTCCAGAGGATCCAGGATTGATACCCAGCACCCACAAGGTAGCGAACATCCGTCCCTCCAGTTCTAGATTTGACGCCCTCTTCTGGCCTCCACGGGTACTACACGCATGTGGTGCACTGACATACATACAAACAAAACACCCCCCCCCCCCCCCCCCACACACACACAAAATAAACATAAACCCTTTTTCAGACTGGAGCTAAATCATGGGTTTTCTACTCTGGCAATGCTAACTGTTCTGGGCATGGTAATTATTTTTTTTGTGTGTGTGATTATTAGGCTGTATGTTACAGCACGTTTAGCAGTATGTTAGCCTCTACCTACCAGATGCTGACAATAGTCCCCAAATTGGAACAACAAAAAATGTTTCTAGACATTGCTGAGGTCTCCTTGGGGTAGGAAGAGACAATGGTTGACTGGGAACCACCTCCAATCTAAGACAATAGTTTAAATAACAACTCATCAAGTTTGTTTAAAAAAAAAATAGAGCCGGGCGGTGGTGGCACACGCCTTTAATCCCAGCACTTGGGAGGCAGAGCCAGGCGGATCTCTGTGAGTTCGAGGCCAGCCTGGGCTACCAAGTGAGTTCCAGGAGAGGCGCAAAGCTACACAGAGAAACCCTGTCTTGAAAAACAAAACAAAACAAAACAAAAAAAATAGAAAACATTTATCTGAGACAAGGGAGATGGCTCAGTGGGTCAAGTGCTTGTTAGCCATGAGGACTTGAGTTTGGATTCCCAGAACCCATGTAACTTGTGTGTGTAATCCAAGTGCTTTTACAATGAGAGGGTAACTGGAAACAGGAAAATGTCAGGACGTTTAGAGACAGCTAAATCTGGCACTTATCCTGGGAAACAAGAAACCCATTCTCAAGATGGGAGAGTAAAGCCCAAGGCTGTATTCTGACTTTTGTGTGCTTACTGTGTCAAGCATGTGTTGTGGAGGTCCACAAAGGTTTCCTAGTGAGACCTGAGCTTGCTTTACCCAGCAGAGCTGCATTAGAAAATTGCAGCACCAAAACAACATGGAGAAACCCTGTCTTGAAAAAACCAAAAAAAAAAAAAAAAAAAAAAAAAGTCCGTTAGAAGAAACAGAAGGGGCTGGTGGATAAGGATCCAGGACCTCCTGAGCTATCCTGTGTTTCTATCTCTCTCTCTCCCCTCTATCCTTCTATCTAAATATTTCTCACTTCTCCCTCCTCAAGAGTACCCTGGGGTAAAAGAGGGAGTGGGTCTCCCACAGAGGCACCCAAACAGGGACCAGGCACTTGGCGAAAGGGGGGGAGGCCCCCCGCAGGAAGTTTGGGCATGTACGGTTATGCTGAAAAATTAAGGCAGGGGTATTCTATTTTGGGGAGTGAAAGTAAGGCAGTGGAATGCTGAAGCTGAAAAGTAAAGCTGCAGCATATCTCTCTCTCTATCTCCGTTTCTTTTTTTCCTCTTAATTTCTACCTATAAAATTTAAAAAATTTTCGCCTTTAATCCCAGCACTCGGGAGGTAGAGCCAGGTGGATCTCTGTGAGTTCGAGGCCAGTCTGGGCTACCAAGTGAGTTCCAGGAGAGGCGCAAAGCTACACAAAGAAACCCTGTCTCGAAAAACCAAAAAAAAAAAAAAAAAAAAAAAAAAAAAAAAAAAAAAAAAAAAAAAAAAAAAAAATTTAAAAAATTTTAGAGTAACACAGAATATAGAAATACTGGGTTAAGAATAAAATTTAAGAAAAAATTTAGGATAAGATAAACAACAAGACAGAGGAACTATGTCCTTGATTTCCAACTATGGGACTGTGAGTGCAAAATCCTGGGGAAGAATCAGAGAAAAACCTACCAAAGATGAGAAAAAAAAAAAAAATGGGCAGAAAAAGATTCCTATGGCAGTTTTTGGCCCGGAGACGCTTAGAATCAAGCCCTGAAAAGCATGGGGAATTTTTCCTGAGGTGGATGCAGATGAAACAAAACCCTCTGCTCCACCAGTAAACACCATTATAACACCATACAATCAAAATTAGTTTCAGTTTGACTATGAAGTCAAAGATTAGAGAACAGAAATTTTGGGAAAGACTTAGTAATCTCTCAAAGAAACTAAAAGCTTTTCAGACCTTTCTTTCTCAGATTTTTTTTCTCTTTCTGTAGGGGCAAAAAATTAAATTCACCTTGAAGAAACATCTATCAGAATGGGAGAATCACTCGTAACTGCCCTAGTATAGAAAACAATCTCCTGAAGCATTGCTAACTTTTACTGTTAGTGCTATATCTCCATTTCTAACCAGCAGTCGGGAAGCAATTAGCAAAGGGCCAGGGGGCAAGTGCCTCTGAGTTTGAGTGCATCCCAGGAATACTAGGGTTCCTGCAGTTGGCAAGCATCTTCCTGGAGCGTGTCTAGTCTGGAAAAATTAGGTAACATTAATTTTTAAAGGATAAACCAATCGATCACATTAGAAGCATGTGAAGTTTTTGTTACTCAAACCTTCAGATATATTTGAATACTTTTTTTTATTTTAAATTTTTATTTTTTTTTTTAGTTTTTCGAGACAGGGTTTCTCTGTGTAGCTTTGCACCTTTCCTGGAACTCACTCTGTAGCCCAGGTTGGCCTCGAACTCACAAAGATCTGCCTGGCTCTGCCTCCCAAGTGCTGGGAGTAAAGGTGTGCGCCACCACCGCCTGGCTGAATACTTTTTATAATAGCTTAAAATACAATTTTATCTCAGTAGCCCCTGGAAAACTTAACTGAAGGTGTCATAATTAGGGGAGTTTTTCTGTCTTATTCCTAGAAGTTTCCACTCCTGTTTCTGTTTAGAAAGGGGTAGGATTCCCACAAAGGGATAAGCCTCCCATAATCGAATTTGTAAAAGTGTCTTTATAATTAGCATGGTTTTTGTTTACTTGAGTGGACACTTTGAAATGGTTTGACATGACTGTTTTCTCCTGGGAATCAAAATAGTCTTTTGAATATTTTATTGAACATCTGTTAGGAGAGAATTTTGATCCAGGAAAAGGGCTTGATCCAGCTAAGACTGCTGTAATCACCTTAGACCCATTCCAAGAAGGATATTCCATCTTTATTATCCTCTACTCCTTTACTGGGAGGTGTGGCAGCTATGGAGATGACTGTGGATGTTTGCAAGCTCTGTATCCCCTCTTGCCAGAGCCTGGCAAAGACGGGCAACTTTCTTCTTGATAGCTTTCAACCTAAGGCAGAGTATGCTTGATGGAAAGTGTATCTCCACGACAGGTAAGGAAGATCTATCAAGGAGGGTGAACTAACACAGGCGCAGTCTACCTGAGGGGCCTGGGGGGAACCTTTTTTATATCAAGAAGGGGGATATGCCCACAAAGGTTTCCTAGTAAGATCTGAGCTTGTTTTACCCAGGAGAGCTGCATTAGAGGATTGCTTGACCACGTACGTGGGTCTGCACTTGGATGTGTGGTATGCTTTGATCTAGCAAAGGGAGGTCTTTTGCCCTGCCCCTTGGTATTCCTTTAAAAAGCCCGTTAGAAGAAACAGAAGGGGCCAGTGGATAAGGATCCAGGTCCACCCAAGCTATCCTGTGTTTCTATCTGTCTCTCTCCCCTCTATCCTTCTATCTAAATATTTCTCACTTCTCCCTCCTCAAGAGTTTCAGGTGTTTTTTACCTGCTTAGACATCTTCCTGATCCCTTTTCCCCAAAATCTTGTTGACCATGAACAGATCTCATAGATGGCTTTGCTACATGGAAAACACTCACACAAAAGCACATAGTCTACAGATAGTTTCTTGCCAGGCCCACATAAACATGCATGTTACATGCTAAGCAAAAAGGTAGTCTCTCTACCTAGTCGTGCCCTGTTTCCCACAACAAAAAGCTCTTGCATCCACATCCTACCTTGGTGACAGCCCAGCTAGGCAAGAACCTGGATAACTATTAGTGTACTGCATAAAGTCCTGGGTGTTCAAAACAGTGTTAAGAAGACAAGTATAGGGCACTAGATTATAAGCATCTATGTATGTTATTTTACCTTGTCTTGCTGTGTATTCATTGTCTTCAATTAATCTTGCTAAGCCAAAATCTGCTATTTTGCATACAAGATTTTCTCCTACAAGAATATTAGCAGCTCGGAGATCTCGGTGAATGTAGTTCATTCTTTCAATATACGCCATACCATCAGCAATCTTAAGAGAGGAAACAAAATGAGAGGCAAAATATATGATAAAAGGGAAAAATTTTGTTTAAATTAAAGGGACTGTTGAAAAATTAGGTAGTTAAAAAAAATTATAGTAACAGACACAGTCCATAAGACAACAGAAAAAAAACTACAATTAAAAAAAGGCTAAATTAATCTTTATATCCCTAACACTGCAAGGAAAAACCAATCAACATATATTTTGAAGACCAATATTTTATGCCCAGAGTATATCCAGTGACCATGACCAGCACAATGTCCTACTGTCTTGTCAATGGTCACAAGAGGATGGCGTCTGCAGTCTCTGTAGAGAAACTCATACGGTCGATACCAGACAGTCTAAGGCACTGAAGCACCAACAAACTATAGCTTGTAAGTCAGATGTGGCCACAGCCTATTCCCACATGCCTTGAGAAGTTTAAAAAAAAAATGGCTTTTACATTTTTTTAAAGGGCTGTGAAAACTAATGAGGCCCAACAGAGTTTGTATGTGCCTTGCAAAGCCTAAAAGGTCTGCCATTTTTCTAAGAGAAAGTGACTAAGAGCCTTGATTGAATGCAGGGTCTGGCATATGCCTGTCTCCTCTGAAGTTTGTCTACATTATCAGATGTTATGGACATGTGGACTTTCACTGACAGGTAAGAGCCACAGTGCTGTGGAACAATCCTTTTCTACACTATGAATATGTATTACTCTCATTGGTTAATAAAAAGCTGACAGGCCAGTACCTGAGAAGGAAGTTAAGCAGGAAAGCCAAACTGGGAATGATGGGAAAAAGGGTGAAGTCAGGAGAGATGCCAGCCAGCCACCAAACAAGCAGGACATTCAAAAAAATGAGGTAACAAGCCATTGAGTCACATGGCAAAGCATAAACAGAAATATAGGTTAATTTAAGTATAAGAGTTAGCTAGTAACAAGCTTGAGCTATCAGCCAAGCATTTAAAATTAACATAAGCCTCTGTGTGGTAATTTGGGAAGCAGCTGCCATGTATTTGTGAGTTTCTGAAGGGACAGAAACTTCTGCCTACACTGCAGAAGCAAGCTCATAAACTGAAGGCAATAAATGGTGCCTTTAATACTTATCCTCTATCTTAATAGAAACTTTGCAACAAAAATTCAGAAGTACACAAGACTAATTCTTACTTGTATATTATCTGAATTCTTGTCTTAGAGTATAATAAACAAAAGAACTTCAGCATATACTTTCAGGTTTAATATTTGGAATAATTCTCATCCATCTTAATTATCGTTTTGTTTCTTCTTCTTCTTCTTTTTTTTTTTTGAGACAGGGTTTCTCTCTGTAGTCCTGGCTATCCTGGAACTCACTCTGTAGAACAGGTTGGCCTCAAATGCCTGCCTCTACCTCCTGAGTGCTAGGATTAAAAATGTGTACCACCACCTCTCAGCCCATCTTAATTTTCTTAAACTTATTTGCTGAAATGTAAATACATAAATTGTATTTGTGGAAGCATTGTGTCAAAGGCCATATGATACAAGGCAGCACCTGACAGGAAGAGCTCTAATATTCTAATACTAGCTCAGCTACTAAGGGGCTTACACTGAACCATCTCCAATGTTCCTTCCTCTTCTAAAATTCTAGTATTTCATTGCACCAATTTTAATATTATACTAAGATTTTTCTACATTTTAAGCATATGCTTTTGTTTCAAATTGATACATATATATGCAACTACCTGAGCAGCCATATCAACCAGCTGTGGAAGCTTCAAATATTTTCCATCTCCTTCTTTAAGGAAATCTAACAAGCTCCCTGTAAGAAACAGAAAGATATTCCAGAAAAATTCAAACATTACATTAAAATGGAAATGAATATTCTTCAATTCTTTAAACAAATCATTAAACCAGAAAACTTTTCAAGGTTTTGTTTTGTTTTGTTTTGTTTTGTTTTTCGAGACAGGGTTTCTCTGTGTAGCTTTGCGCCTTTTCTGGAACTCACTTTGGAGACCAGGCTGGCCTCGAACTCACAGAGATCCGCCTGCCTCTGCCTCCTGAGTGCTGGGATTAAAGGCGTGCGCTACAACTGCCTGGCTTTTTTTTTATATATATATATATATTTTGGGCACTTTTGGAGCTATTAAGGATTCCAGAGGAGTACCAAACTAAAATTTTAAAAATTCTCTTAATAACAGATTTTAAAGGAAAAAAAACTACCACTTCCCTATCTTAGGAGAAAATATCACCAGATTAGTTACTCCCCCACCATACACTTTGATCAAGATTCTGTGATGAAAAAGGTGTTAGAACTACGTATCTTAAAAGTCAGTTTGAAACTAGTATTCAGCCAACTGGGACTATCATGGAATTGTTACAATTATATACAAGCAACTCATGCTGGCTTGAAGGATAGCTCCTTGGTGTCAGGAGATGGCACCATGGGGATAGCCAAGTCTGATGAACTCAGCAAAGTGAAAGGTTAGGAAGGGAGGTCTGGTTGTTCCCTCTACTATGAGTGAAAAAGCATACAACATCAGATAAAACCAAATAAAGACACATTTTTATAGAAGTAAAACAAAACAACAAAAATACTCATTTTCATAAGAAAGGCTGAGAATTTCAGATTAAAAGGCATATAAAGAGCTGGGCCATGGTGGCACATGCCTTTAATCCCAGCACTTGGGAGGTAGAGGCAGGCAGATCTCAGTGAGTTCGAGGCCAGACTGGTTTACAAAGTGAGTTCCAGGACAGCCAGGGCTGTTGCACAGAGAAACCCTGTCTGGGGGCTGGGGGGGGGGGGGGGGACCAAAAAAAGAGAGATAGCAATTAAATATTGGGCTTGACCATGGATTCCACACTAGATCAGGAAAGTATAATTGGTAGAACTGGCAAAGAGAGAGAAACAAATTCTAAGGATCGAGAATAATATGAACAGACTCAGGGCAAAGCTGGGGCCAACATGGCTCAGTGGTACAGTGTGTTCTTAGAATATACAAGACCCTGGGTTTGATTGTCACCACAACAGTAGGAAAAAACACAACATGGAAATCAAGGACAACAAGAAAATCTGTCTGCAACAATAGATTTATGATAAAGCACATGAGGCAATAAGCTTTAATGGATTACAGGGGTCTACTGAATATTAATGAGTGAGGAATTACTGCATTTTAAAACCAGAAACAACTTTTACTATTTTATATTCTAAATCTCTCACCTGGAAATAATCTTAACCTAATTATGTAACAACACAGAATTCTAGCATTTTCTCCCAATTGTGGATGGTCCACTAGTCTTCTCCATTTGATTTTTTATGCTGCCAATATCTTGACTTACGTTTCTTTCTTGTTCTTTTCTCACTTTCTCTTCTAGTTCATCTAATGCACTCATTCAAATGCCAGAGTGCTGGGATTAAAGGCTTTTGGCTTTAGTCCTTTTAAAAGAATTTTTTCCCTCCTGTTGCAAATTTGAATGTGTAGATGCCTCCATCACCACTAGCAGGAACTGTATCACCAGCCAAGGGGGACTACTAGAGAAGGTGACATAAGAGTTACTTAAGTAGTCTGATTCAAAAAAATAAATAAAAATAACCCAGGCAGTGGTGGCACACGCCTTTAATCCCAGCACTTGAGAGGCAGAGGCAAATGGATCTCTGAGTTCAAGGTCAGTCAGGGCTACACAGAGAACCCTGTCTTGAAAAACCAAAATAAATGAATAAATAAAAAATAAATAAAAATTTTAAAATAGATCCAATTAAAAAGGGGTAGATTCAGGCTAATCAGCATCATTTACTAGATCCTCTTCAAAAGCATCAATGTCCTAGAAATAAACAGGGAAGAGCATCAACCTTGTCTGGCTTTGCCCCTGGCTCTAACTAGCCTTACATAAGAGCCCACCTGTGCCTGGACTGGCGAGGATGAAAAATTTCAATTGACAGCAGGGGAGAACAGTTTCTGGAAGTCTAGTATGTAAGAACTATGTTTATATAAAATGAGATAAAAATTATACCTCTTGGTTTAATTAGTCTACTTTTTTTATTGCTCTAGCAATTCCATTTCCTTTAGTTAAATCAACTATGAAAAGACTCAGTCTGTCTAATTTTCCTTTAAAGTCTCATAAGATCCTGTGGAATAACTGGGAATAACCACTATTCCATTAAAAAAAAATTACATTTCCTCTTTTCAAAAGTCTACAGAAAAGTCTTAAGTTAGAAAGTACTATATGACAAAAATCTGTATGTATAAAAATAGAGGGCCTGCAAGAGGGCTCAGTGGGTAAGGGTGCCTGCTGCCAAGACCAGTAACACCTGAGTTTAATCCCCAAGACCTAAATGGTAGAAGGAAAAAGCCAACTCCTTCAAGCTGTCCCTTGACCTCCACATATGTGTCATGGCACCCATACAGGTATGCATCCAAAATATATAAATCAATGTAATTTTAAGGGAGAAAAGTGAATTCTGTGAGCTACATTAGCAATCTGCTTGCCAGGTATACTCACTGGTGTAATAGGGGCATGAATGTTATGAGAGTAACCATCCATCTTCTGGCTGGACTTAAAAGGCTCACTTCATAAGATGGAACCCATACCTGACACTTAATGAGACCAAGAACCTCTGAGAGCTAGATCACGGACCCCAGAGAAAATCTACAATTATTCTGTTAAATGAACAAAGCAATAAAAGGATTCCTAACAACATACTGCTATACCCATAGAAAAGTGTATCACTGAGCCTCATTAGAGAGATGACTTCTTACAGCAGGAGGCAATTAACACAGACTCACAACTGGACAACGTGCAGAGAGTGAGAGACTTTGAAACACTGAGATCTAGATGGAATCACACCCCTTCCCTCAAGGCTCAGGGATCCATGCAAGAGCCAGAGGTGGTGGATTACTCTACAATAACAGTATTTTTCAGACACAGCAGGTCTGATGCACATATGAACTCACAAAGACTGTGACAGTATGCACAAGTTTAAACCAGACAAAATCTCAACAAAGAGAAGGGTAAGTGGGCAAATAGTCCAACTCCTACCCAAGAACCTATTTGCAATTGACAACTGCTGGGAAAGGGAAAAACCTTTTTTTTTTTTTTCTTTCTTTTTCCCAGTGGAGAGAAAATGGGTATATCAACCACACCTCAGGGAAGGCTGAATGCTCAGGAATAGTGGCCAACACAAAATGGACTCCATGTTTTTGTTTTTTAATTTCGTTTTGGGTTTTTCTCAATTATTTTGTCTTTTTAAGAGAAAGAATATAAAATTGGTTGGGTGAGTGGGTTGAGTATCTGGGAAAGAATTATGATCAAAATATATTGTATGATTTTTTTTAATCTAAAAAAGAACAGAAATGAAGTTGTTTAATTGCAACAGAACCATGTAAAAGACAATTCATATGCACTTACCTTTTGACATAAACTCAGTGACAATATAAATTGGCTCTTCAGAAACAACTGCATACAGCGGAACAAGTTTATCATGTCTTAATTTCTTCATTATCTGAGCTTCTTGAAGGAAAGATTCTGGCATCATTGTACCTGGCTTTAGTGTTTTGATTGCTACTTTTGTGGTTCCATTCCATGTTCCTAGGAAAACAATTTATTTAACTCTTTCAATATTTCTGTATCTGAATCTGTATTTGAAGGGATTTTAGACCAAAATTCAACCAACAATAAAAGTTATCCTACATAATTAAGGACATATTGTACATATTTTATCATATTTTGCTATTTTAATTTATGGTTCCACAATAACAAAATGAAGTAACAACAAAGCTCAGGCTTCTTACCCATCCACACTTCACCAAAGCATCCTTGACCTAGTTTAACCTCTAGTCGCAACGATTCTCGAGGGATTTCCCAAGCATCTTTTGCTAGACCTTGAGTCTGGGGTTTCACAGTTGGACACACAGTTGTTAACTTGTGGCATAAACCATCAGCATGTTCTAGATAAATGAACAGGGCACACTGTAAATGAATTACTTTCAAAGTTAAGACAATTAGTGTGTATATATACATACATATATGAACTCAGTGATTTACCTGCTTTTAGGATTAAAGGGGTATGCCACCATACCTGGCTTATTATTTGGTTTTTCAAAAAAGCTTAAGTCATTGAATTAAAGTCATAATCTCCTATAAGCTATCAACTTTCCTCTAAAACTACATGTATAATAGGAAGGTTTCCATAGAAAGATATGAAGTATATACAAGTGAAACATTTTAGAAATACATTTATGCTAATATTTGTTGACTACATATGCTTATGTTATTGTGTCCATCAGTACTATGTAAATCTTTCATATAAATTGAGCTTGGAAAACCTAGAGAACTGTCCCAATGTCCCAGCTAGTAAACGAGAGGATTCAAACACAGATCTATCTGTCTGCCTCCAAAATTCCACTATGCTTTTCAGCAGGTAGATAGGGTGTCTGAGACAAGGTCTTGCTATATATTCTAGGCTGGACTTGAATTCAGGTTCTTCCTGCCTTAGTCTCTTAAATGCTGGGATTAAAGGCCTGCATCACAGCTTAAAGCTCTGCTTAGACCACTAGGATTCATGTATTTCCCCAGGGGGATGATCATTAGTTGTTATTTCTAATAACCACTAATTTGTAAGACTCTGAAAATCAAGGAAGAAGTTGATGTAAGTGATTGAATTTTAAATAAAGGAGACCTAAAGGCAGCCAGTCCAGATTCATAATGGCTTGGTTTGTGTACCCTGCTTATATAAAACTTCTCATTGTAAGTGAGACACATTTCCTCCCATTCTTACCAAGCAACCACTCAAATTCACATTCTAACAATGGCAATTACAAGTTAACGCCAGCTTGGAAACATGTTCCATTAATTTCAAGCTTGCTGATTGACTTGATAATTTCAGTTTGCTGCTAGCTGTCATAGAAGAAGAATTGCCATGGAAACTTCCCCCTTGTAGTACTAATTATTTAAAGACTTTCAGATGCATTTACATATCCAATCGGCAATGAAAAATTTAAGACCCAAGACTGCAAATCAGAATACTTTTCAAAGGTCCATGAAAGACCAGAATGCCTATAGCTGCTATAGGTCCATTTTCTTGGATAAGAAATAGCATCTTCAAATTGGATTTTGTAGGGTTTATATTTTAGAAAGTCTTAAAAGATTCAGCTTCTACAGAAGGAAATCAAAGAAGACATCTGAGAACTTTTGACTCTACTCCTTTTTCTTTTTTGCAGTGTTGGGGAGGAAACCTTAGCATATGTAAGTAAGCACTTTACCAGTGAGCTACAATCCTAGCTCTGAGATAACTTTTTTATATTACAAACTTAACTTTAGCTACTTAATATACATAAATATTTGCTGTCATGTTTTGTAATTTACTGTCACAATCTATCTTAGCATTTATACATTATGATCTAGAACTCCAAAGCAAAAGCTATGCCAGTAAGGCATAATGATTCCAATTACAGTCTGATTTGAGCATGATATCCAATCGCCCAATTTATGGTTCTGCTATGTTGCCTAGGCCATATGTGACTCTTGTTCCTCATTTTGAAACCAGAGCACAGCACCAGTAAGATGGCTCAGCTGGTACTTGTGGCCAAGCCTGGTAATTTAAGTTTCATCCCCAGGACCCACAAGTTATGAAAAGAGGACTGAGTCCCTAAGTCGCTCCCTGACCTTCACACATGTACCACAGCATGGTTGTGCATACACACGATCACATGCACAAACACTAAATAAATAATTAAAAAAAAATCCAACCCAGAACACCAACATCTATTAGAGATTTACTGTGTGTAAATATAAATGAGCATATTAAAGCTTAAGAGAGATAAAGAGTTGTCCTCACAAAATAGAACATCAGAGATTAATTCCTACCTCTGAAGTGCTCACCTACCTGTGTAGTGCTTCACCAGTTTCTGCAGAGTATCAAACTGAGCTCTGGTCGTGATGTAATATCCACCATTGTCAAGTTTCCTAATTTTATAATGCTTCACATTGTCACCCCTTACCTCATCCCAATCACGAATCGAGAGGGAATAAGCACCTGGGGTGGAGAGGGAGGGGGAGATGAACACGTTCACTCCAGCTTCCTCAAACAATGCCTAAAGCACATTATGCACATATTAATATAATAATCATACCTTTAGTGGTTTCACTTTCTCTTACTAAGAATATACCTCGCTGATTCCCAGGATTTAGAAGTAATCTTTCGGCATCTTTTCTCCCCATTTTGCCAAAATACCATCTAAAAAAAAATAATGATGTTTTGGGTTAAAAAGGTATGAGGATCAGAAAAATTACATACATGTATCAATAAAAATGGAGTGTGACAGCCTGGTAGTGGTGGCACACTCCTTTAATCCCAGGCAGAGGCAGAGGCAGGAGGATCTCTGTGAGGTCAAGGCCAGCCTGGTTTACAGAGCAAGTTCCAGGACAGCCAGAGCTACACAGAGAAACCTGTTCTGAAAAACAAAACAAAACAAAAACAAACAACAACAAAAAAACAATGCACACCTTTAATTCCAGCACTCGGGAGGCAGAGGCAGGCAGATCTTTGTGAGTTCGAGGCCAGCCTGGTCTACGGAGCGAGATCCAGGAAAGGCACAAAGCTACACAGAGAAACCCTGTCTCGAAAAACCAAAAAGTATTAATGTTAGATCAAGTATAAAAATATTAACTATGAGCTGGGCAGTGGTGGCGCATGCCTTTAATCTCAGCAGTCAGGAGGCAGAGGCAGGCAGATTTCTGTGAGTTCGAGGCCAGCCTGGTCCACAGAGCAAGTTCCAGGTCAGCCAGGGTTAAATAGAGAAACCTTGTCTCAAAAAAAACCAAACTAAAACAAAACAAAAAACAGAACTGTGGAAATACGCTCTAACAGTTTTTCCATGTACTATCTATTCAGTATGTCTCTTAAATTCCCCTTACCAGCCAGTAAACCAGCAAATAGAGAAGGAAAGACAGAAAATCTGTCAGTGAGGGGTAATGAATTCTTTGGAAACAAGTATGATCACTTGTATTCAGTAAGATGCAAGGAGATCATACCCAAACTATAGGGGACTCCAAACTCGTGTGGGTTTGATTTAATAAAGCTTTGTGACAAAAATGACAGTCACTGCTGTGGGAAGGCTCACAGAGTACTAGAGACAAAGAACCAAACAAAAGTCATAGCAGAAAAAGAGCACTGCGGTGACAATTTGTATCAGCAAAAACAAACAAGTATCACAAATGTATACACTGTGCAAGGAGATGAAGAGATAGTCTACAGAGTGTGTAAAAAAGGAGTTTTAAAAATAAACAGAAGAATAAAGGAAAGAGACTAAATACAATGTACAATGACTAATGCAGATTTACTTACTGTGTGTCTCTGAACAGACACATTAATTATTAATTCTCAAACAGCATTTATTAATATGATACATTAGCTGTATTAGGACTGGTATATAACTGTGTGTAAAGTTGTGGTTAAGTAGAATGTGCATCAAAACATTTTAAAAGTCAAATTAATAAAATATGAAGTAGCACCATACTCTTCTGCCTGAATGGAATCTGCAGGTGCTACATAATTGCTAGGGATATAACCATTCTTTCCGGTAGCAATTGATCTTGCTTCCCACCAGTCTCCTTCCCTGCAACACAAAAAAAAACCAACAATCACTATAATGCAGACGCTTACCCCAGGTGTAATTCTTATCTCAAGCAAAGAACAGGAACCACTTTCATTTTTAATCTCAATTTTTTATGGATTAATCAAACAAAGAGCTGAATTCAAAGAAGGGTATTTTTAAAAGCTGGTTAAATGAATTAAGACCACATAAAAGCACAACTGCACCTATCTGTTCTAAACCAACAGGAATAACAGAAAACCCCTAAATACTGCACACTTGAATTCTACTTACCTTTTTCATGTTAATTCTTTCAACTAAACCTGATGAACTATGCTGAATAAAGAAATTTACTAATTTTAAATAGAATTTTAGAAGTTTGAGATTTTATTTGTATGCCATACACATCTCACATTTAAGGGACAACATTTAAGGGTTTTAATATATTCAGAGTTGTACAGTCATCAAAATAATACATTTTAGAACATTTCGCACCATAAAAACCCTGGACTGGTAAGATAGCTCAGTGGGTGAAGGCACTTGCCACACAAGCTATTGACCTAAGTTCAGTCCCCAGAGCCAGTGGAAAGGAGGAAGGTGAGAACCAACTACACCAAGCTGTCCTCTGGGTTCCATGTGTGCACCCCCACACACATCAGACACATACTGACAAAGAAAGAAAATAAAGGTAGAAAGATCGAAAGCCCACGCCTACTCATCCGTCACTCCCATCCCCTCACATTCTCTCTAACTAATCTCTATGGACATGCTTTTTGTGCGAGATGGGACCATTATGAAGTCTTTTGTGACAGCCTTCTTAGAATAATATTATTAACGTTCACCCATATTTTAGCCTATGTCGGTTAATTTTTTTGTTGTTGTTACCAAATGCTTCCTTCTTAATAGCATATAAAATTGTAAATTTTAAAAAGTCACCTAAGGAATAAAATAAATGGCCTTAGTATGCTTATAGCCAAAAACTTAACAATGAATAATAACAATCCAAAGTTGATTTTCTAGAGCTGGTGAAATGGTTTACTGGGTAAAGGCACTTGCTTCCAAGTCTAACAACCTGAGTGATCCCCAGTCCTGGGTGGGGGTAGGGAGACAGAGAATCTATTTCCAAAAGTTGTCCTCTGACCTCCACACGTGTACCATGGTACTCGTACATGCCCACAGTGTGTGTGTGTGTGTGTGTGTGTGTGTGTGTGTGTGTGTGTGTGTGTGTGTGTGTGTGTTTCTCTCACAAAACTATTCCTTTAAAAGTTGAATTTCTAGTGGTGGTGGCAAAAGCCTATGATCTAGCACCCAGGAGATGAGGGGCAGAACAGTGAGTTCAAAGTCAGACTGGGCCATATAGCAAGACCCTGATTTAAATAAAACAAGCATGTTATTCAAAAACTGATATCCAAATATCAGCAAGACTAATACTATAATTCAAAACATGAGAACTGTATATTGTTTAGAATATATTAACCTTGGCTTTTCCAAAATTCCTATGAAAGTATCTCTAAAAAGAAGTTATATATGTGATTCACTACTAAAGATTACATGTTATTGTACAAACTGAAAATTTTATACATGTTTAAAGTGAATTTATTCTCTAAAAAAAAGAATTAAGAAAGTTTTTGATAATTTAACTATTTGAAAATAGATACATTGATTAGTGGTGTCCTAGAATATATTAAATCTTTTCTCATATTCATTATAAAGTCTTACTATGTAGCCCTGGCTGGCCTAGAATCTGTGGTAATCCTTTCTTAGACTAAAACTTTGCATTAACTGAGTCATTCACTGAGTGTTACTAAGTGTAAGGCAAACAGCAGTCCTTAAGCTGGGAACTGACTCTGGAGCAGGGTTGACAACTTTAATGGTACTAACACTCTGACACTTTGGAGTTGATGAATCTTTGTCATGTACATAGCAGGACTTTACCAATATCTGTGGTTTGTTATGCAGGTGACAACAGCCACACTCTCATCCTGACTGTGACAACCAAAAATATCTCTAGACATTAAAATTAAAAACTGTAATTTACAATGTGATGACAGCCATGACTGAGGTTTGTAGAGCACCATGCAAATACCTACGAGAAACACTTCATAGAGTAGGGTGTGGGAACTGAGCCAGGCATGAGAAGAAGAAGGCAAGGAGAGGAACCACTGAAAAGGACATAGGAAATATCTTTTAAAGGATGAGGAAGGCGAACTCGAAAGAGGAAAGAAACAAGGGATCAAGCATAGCTTAGTGACAGAGCATAGGCTCGCATGCTTGAGGCTCAGGATTCTATCCCCATCTCAAATGAGCAACCCTTCCACTCCACAAAAAAAGAAAGAAAGAGACCAAAAGTCATTCTAGAAAAAGAAATAGTATGTGTAAAGGCATGAAGAGGGTGAGAAACTATTGTACTCAAAATACTGCAAGTACTTTGGGTAGCTTTAAGTCTTCATAGCATCATCAGCTACTGAAGGATCTTAAGGCAGAGACACACAATCACAGTTCATGTTCTGGAACAGTAAGTGGTAACAGATGGCAAAACGATAGAGGGAAACATGACTAGAAGCAAAGAAGACCATAAGTATGTGCTTTGAGAAGTTACAAAGTATTTGTTATGCTTGTTAATGAAATTATGAAATCTGCTGCATAACAAGCATCAAATTTTCTATGGCAGACCGCTAAATGACAAAGTCTAAGAGTAAACATAAGAAAAACACAATTTGGTAAGTTTCAGAGTACAAGGTTTCCATATCCTAGCCACTCCCCCAACAAACAAGGTTTTAAAGTCATCTGGTATTTATATGAATATAGATTTTACTTCCTAAAGATCTTTTTATAAGGGGCATCATTTTGGAGACAGGAACTTGGTAAGTATGCAGCCCATGTTGATTTGGAACTCACTATGCAGCCTAGGCTGGCCGCAAACTCAAGACCTGTTTGTCTTAGCCTCTCCAGTGCTGTGATTACAGGTGAGTGCCACCACACCTAGAAAGAACCCTTTCTTCTAAAATCTCTTTACAGACTAACTCCATAAGCACAATTCGCAAAAGTAGTAACTTCTGCTTGTAGCAATACATTATCCAATGTGTCTCAAGAAGCCAAACGCATCATCGTCTAACCCAAAGACAAAGACCCGTACCCCACCACTCTCATCTCCACATCATCAACTCCATCAGTGGTCCAATGCAGAGACCAGGTTCCCTCTTACAAAAAACATACAAAACTTACGTATTGTTAATTATTTGAAATCTTTCACCCTTCTTAAAGGAAAGGTCTTCTGTAGTTCTAGCTTCATAATCATATAAGGCCACAAATATAGTGACACCACCTGGCACAGGAAAAAAAGACCAAGGTAAATAATAAACCTGAATGCATGAAAGAAATAAACAATTACTGCTAGTAAAAGCTTAGGCTCAGTTTCCTCCTTGCTCTAGTATTTAGTATTTATTTTTTTAGAAGCTGGGTTTTGATAAAATGTTCTCCAAAGGCTTCCTGTAAAACCACATACTGTACCGTATAAATTCTAAAATTCTATAAATTCTGAAATAACTATAATTTCACTTCTGAAACAGTATGTGTAGCTTGAAAAAGCAGCCACATTGCAGATCAATTCTTTGGGAGGGAAAAGCACACAGACTACTGGTACCTGCCTTCAATTCCTGACCGCAAACATGAAGACATTTCCATCTACAAGCATTAACAGCAATCATTAAGGTTTTCTTAAGGTTCACTTTATACTTACAAATGAAAATGTCATATTTGTCTTAAAAGTTAAGGGCATGGTTAATATGAATTATATACTATAAATTAAAAAAGTCAGATCTAGCAATGTGTGAATATAGTTAAAAGATAAACATATTTAATATCTAATCTAGTATGTGCAATCAGAACAGAGCATATATACAATAAAAATGACATTGCAGTGTTTAGAATACTTATAGTAGGTATTATAGTTTTAAAAATGAATTATATCACTTTTTAAAGATATATATATTTATCAAGTATAATAAAATGTTTTGAAACATGAATAAATTATGGAATGGTTAAATCAGGTTATATTATTTATTCATCTTTTTTAGGCAAGAAACTTAAAACCTACTTTTACTGATTTTCAATACAATTTGTTGTTACTAAGCAGTCACAAGGTTGTACAATGAAATCCTTGAACTTATTCCTACTGAAAATTTATATCTTTTTACCAACTTTTTTCTGAAAAGGGTGTGAGAGGATCAAATCCTTAGCCTCCTACATGCAAGATCAGCCCTGAGCTATACTTTTAGACCTGACCTCTGACGAACATATTCTTTTTGAGACAAGACTCACTCTGTGGACCAGGCTGGCATCCAACTCATAGAGATCTGCCTGCCTCTGCCTCCTGAGTGCTGGAATTAAAGATGTGTGTCACTACATCTAGCTGACCAATATAGTCTTAACTCAATTATGTATAAACTCTATCTTGTATAGTTCAATTGATTTGCTGCATTCATTATTAGTTTACATCCATCAGTATTTTTTTTAAATGAGAGAGGGAAAAAGCAGGTAGTGTAACTACAAATGAGTGATAAATACAAATACTGTGGCATGGAAAATGCATGGAAATGACATGGAAAATAAAACTTACTACATATAAATACAAAGTAGGAGAAAAGCAAAGGTATAAGAACACATTCATACATAGCATCAGCTCACTCAGCTGGTTTCTCCTCTAAGCTTTAGTCATCAATCAATTTGCTTATTTGACATCTCTACTTCAACATCTAGTAAGGATTCAAAATTTATAATAAACAAATGAAGCTCTTGATTTTTCTCCTTTAATTTGTATTTGCCCAAGTCATTTTTCTCTGAGGAAAGGGGAGTACGATGGAGTCGGGACTGTTAGTTCTAGCTCTAAAATAGATGGTTTACCTACTTCCCACTTCTACTCTGGCCACCTCTCACTAGGAATGCTGGCATCAGAAACTACCTTCCTAACCTGCTTCTACTCTGCTTCACTATCATCCATTCTTCACACAGCTACTAGAGTGAGTTTTAATTACTTTTCAAGATTTATTTTTATTTAAGTGTATGTGTATATGAGTGTAAGCCATATATGTACAGGTGCCTGAGGAGGCCTGAGGGTGTTGAGCTGGAGTTACAGGTAGTTTTGAGCTGCCTGATATGGATGCTTGGAACCAAACTTGGGTCCTCTGGAAGAGCATCCAGTGCTCTAAACTGCCGAGCCATCTCTACAGTCCCTAGAGTATTTTTAAAGAAGAAACCCAACAAGCAAAATCCTTTCCTTAAATCTCAAAGCTTCTTTCTAGCTTTGAGTAACACTCAAACAACCCCTTCTATATAGTCTATGGCCCTAAGTAATCACAGTGTCCTGTCCAACTGTCTAGCCTTGTACAATTCTTCCATTTGTGTTAACTGGTCTTCAAAAGTTCCAAGTACATTTATACTTTTTGAACTTTGTGTTTGCTAATCTTGTTATTTTGCTCCTTCTTTCTCATAGGTCATATCTATCAATTAAGTATCAGTTCAAGTGGGTCCTTCACCAATCATCTTGTTTTTGCCTGCACAATACTTAAATACTAATGATCACTGTTTAGCTGTTTATTCACTAATTATTATTCAAACATTACAATATAAATCTCACCAGGTTCAGAAACTTCATTTATGTTGCTCACCTCTCTATGTCTTGTACAAGACATTCTGGTCCCCCCACCCCATTTTTTAGCTACTAAATGAACACCCATGAATGGAATATTTCAAATAAGTAAATAGCTTTAAGTATTGGAGGTGGATCTGGGAAGAGTTAGGGGCAGGATTGTGGAAAGTGAAAAGGATCAAAATACGTTGTATGCATGCATGAAATTCACAACGAATAAAAATACAGTATTTTAAAAAATTGCTTTAAGTAACTAAAGAAATGTCTTTTTGTATCAACATTTATTTACTCTAGCCATTTTTAATTACTACCTTTCCCAAGTAATTTCAAGGCTTGTGTTAACTATCAGAAATAGCACCATGGTCACTTGTTGACTGAGATCAGAATTGTGATCAACTGTGATGTCTACCACTCTCCAAATGCTATCTAAAAGATCTAGTGTATTAAAGTCCTTTGGCTACTTCTACTGGTCCAGAAGTGAGCAGACTGAGGAAGACAAATGTACATACAGTCCATGATTGTGGAAGGGACTTCCTCTTTTTGCCCCCATTGATTATTAATAAGGTCAGGAGCCATTCCATTTGTCCTTGGTACCTGTTTTCACCCAAAGCTAAGGTGGGCACTCCAAAGATTAGAGGAGAGAGATAAAATTAACACCATGCCTTGCTGACATCATGGAACCCTCACATCAGGGAACCCTGGAGATCACTCTTTTCTAAGCCAGCTGTGCTTTGTTATTTTAAGAGAAAAGCATCCTAATGTGGGACGTTGAGCAAATGAGTTTATTTTCTTTCTTCTTAAAATCGACACTTTTAGGACTACCTGATTCCATGGCAAGATTGTCAACTATCACTTCTTGCCATCTTCTGAAAGGAAATGACAATGTAATAAATGGAGTTCTGGACTAGGGTACTAAATCTGTTGCTTATCAACTGTGACTCTGGAGGAAAACCATCTGAACTCTAAGCTTCAGGAGTTTCCTTTTGAAAATCAGCACCCGGGCCAGTGAGATGGCTTAGCTAATAAAGGTGTTTGCTGCCAACATTGATGACCTCAGTTCAATCCCCAGAACCAACATGGTGGAAGGAGAAAATGCACTGACTCCTGCAAATTGTCCTCTGACTTCCACATGTACACTATGGGGCATGCAAGAGTGCACACACAAAATAAATAAATACAATAAACTCAGTATCTGATAGAAAACAGTGTGCTGTGTTAATAAACTAACGTATATTAACATTTATTAAATAAACAATACAGCATTTTACAGTCCTAAAGAGCTAGCAAATTGCTGGGGTACAGAAAGAAGAACGTTTTTAAATTTCCATATTCTCAGTGTCTGCCACATAGTAGATGCTCAATAATTACTTAGATAATGAGTTAATGAAACAATTTATGGTATAATTCAGTAAATAGTCACCGTCAGTTCTCATCAAATTTCCCAGAACCCTATTATATATATATTAAGACTTCAGGGCTGGAGGTACAGCTCCATGCTTGCCTAGCATGTTATGCTGGAGGCCTTGCTTTTGATCCCCAGCTCCACCAAAAAAAAAACACCTGAAAATTTGAGGGTGGTGCGGCTACAGAGTCAGACTGCCTTTTGTTACAGACTTTATTTGCTCACACAATTTTTTGGGAAATTTGCTAAAAAGCAAGTTTCCCTAGCAGTGGCCAGACCTATGTAAAGCCCAAGGTTATATCTTCTATAACTATCCATTGAAATCTCACCTGTTAAACCTGTAGGATATGAACTTGGCACCACTGAGAACGAGGAAGACGTGCCTCCAAAAGGAGTCACCCCAGAGGACCCTCCAAATGGTGTCATGGAAAGACTGTTAAAATTGACCGGTGCTCCCTTTGTGGAAGAGGTCGGGGCAACTGTGGTGTGTTCTGTTCCATAATGATTGGCACTTGTGCTTACAGGCTCTGGAGTGTTTTCCGGTGTATATTTAATGGCTGGACTTTTGTTTTCTTTACTTTTAATGCAGCCCATTATCAAATCTGCAGAGGCAATAAGGCAAGTATTTGAGAATTAGTTAACATACAGAGAACTTCAAAAAGATACAATTGAGTAGGGCAGTTGCTGACTTTAATCCTAGCACTCCGCGGAGGCAGAGGCAGGCGGAACTCTGTTTGAGGACAGCCTGGTCTACAGAGCTAGTTCCAGGACAGCCAGGGCTACACAAAGAAACGCTGCCTGGAAAAACAAAGCAAAACAAACCAACAAGCAAACATATGAAAGAGCAATTAACAAGAACATGTGTTCAACTTCCCAGTCAACACAAATTTTAAGTTACCTTTTTTCATTATCACTTTGGAAAAGTCTAACTCAATACTTAAGGCTGAATTTTATCCAAAAATTATTAATACCCACAAAATACATTAAACTGCATAAATATATTAGTATAACAAATTTATAAAATTATCTAAATACAAAGTCTAAGTATTACGGAACTGTTAGTAACTAAATTAAAGTCTGAAAGAATGGCAGTCATATCAGTTGAAAATATGAAAGAAAACACTATTTTAAATCTGCTGGTAGACTAATGGTGAAATGTTCTATCCGTTCATAAAAGGTTACTGCAATTACTGACCACCCATTTCCTCTGGCAGTTTCCTTAATTATTTCCTACTTTTATGCAGTATGACTTTAGCTAGGTGGTTGATTACCTCCTAAGACACTCCTCTAAGTCTACATCTGTTGTGGGATATTTGTACACTGTGTGAAGATGTGTCACTGTGATTGGTTTAATACAAAACTGAACAGCCAATAGCTAGGCAGGAGAGGTTAGGCAGGACTTTCTGGCAGAGAGAGGAACTCAGGGGCTGAATCTTGGCACACAAGGAGTTGAATGTACAGAATGGAGGAGAGGCTAAGAGACACGTAGCAGAACCCAGATTAATAGAAATGGGTTAATTTAAGTTATAAGAGCTAGTGAGACAAGCCTAAACTATGGCCAAGTTTTCATAAAAATAATAAGTCTCCTTGTCATTATTTGGGGGCCGGTGGTACAAAGAAAGTCCAACAAGACTCGTTACACACACCCTATCCCTTGAAGAGCCACACTTTCTTCTGCTCACCGATGAAGTCTTCTATTAGGATTCCTGACGTCTTCTCCCATTTCCTCTTAATATGTTCTTGGTCCTTATAGTGAATATAAATAATTTTCCTTCATGTTCCCTCTTCCTTAGTCAAATCAATCATCTGAATCCTGATTATTTTACTTTTTATATACCTCTTTTTTTCCCCTCCTTTGTCAACCTACTTATCCTTTTCAATATCACAATACCACTGTCAGTCCAGTTCCATCAGCACATGACACTGACACATAGAAGCCACTACTGCTGTCCATCTCATTTCAAATGTTAAAAATGTAAGGTATGCTTTATTTTAAAGTAACTGTCAGGTGTAAACTGCTAATATTCTGACCCGCCCCTTAAAATCTCCCCCCCATCCTGATGTAAAGGAAAAACCCCTCCCCCTTCCTCTCTGTCTTCTGCTCGTGCTCGCGCTCTCTCTCTCTCTCTCTCTCTCTCTCTCTCTCTCTCTCCACTCCCACGAGGTGGGTACCCCTCGAACCTCCTCTCTCCTCTCTTTTATCTCCCTCTTTCCTATCTTCTCTTCATCTCTCTATTATAATAAACCATTTCGGCGTGGATGCAGTGTCTGGGTTTTGAATGTCCACCCACCCGCTGCCCTGCCACCATGCCCACATGGCGTGGATTGCCCACCAGCCCACCGCTGCATCTGCCCAGCATGCCAGCATGTTTCTCTGCACACACAGGATACCCTCGGGGTCCCCATGCATAATTCATAACACTGGCGCCCAACGTCGCCGGGCAATCCCACTTCCTTCTCTTGCCCACGAGCAGTCTGACAAGCTCTGGGATCCTGTACCACCCACCACTTTTTTGGCTGGAGCACTGATGGGGACGCTTCACCCTACTGGATCAGTAAGATTCCTCCCTTCCCTTCTGGCCATTTTCCCACAAATGAGGATTTGTCTTGTTTCACTTGCTGGTACCACGTGTCTTTCAACCCCCGCCCCTATGTGATGGTATATGGAGATGGCCTGTGCCCACTCAATTCTACAGCCCATAGCCTTTGTTATGATGGTGCATTGGCTATCTTGCGCCATTATCGTTGGCCCTCATTGACCCTCTGAGATGTTGGAGGTCAGTCTGCTGGGCCTTATACCTCATTGTGGAAAACTGTGCCTACCCCATCCCAGCTCCCTCCTTGTCCACTGGCCCATGCTCCTCCAGTCTCTGCTAATCTGGCAGTACTAAAGATCAACCCCCCTGTCCTCGCTAACTTCATTAAGCTGTAACTGGGAAACCTGTATATTCAGATTTAAGTCATATATATGCTCTCAAAGTTATAAATACATCTAACAGATTTTGTTCCCCCAGTCCTCAAACACATGTAGAGATCTGAGAATGTGGCATTTAATATAAAAGTCTTTTTATGATAAAGAGACATGTCAGCTCCTGGCAGCATCCTGTATCATCTCCAAGAAGATGGATGGCCGCAGAAGAACTTCCACCAGAAGCTTATGGCAAGGCTGGCCATGCAGCGAAAAGCTGAGATCCTGTCCAGACTGTGAATAAGAGGCACAATGGAGGACCAACTGCCTCATACCGCAAAATCAAGGTGGGTCAGTCTCCCCAAATTTCTAATCCACAGAAAAAAATCTGTCAGATCTTCTGGTGCCTATCAGCTGAACAAGTGCTGCCTTTGGGGCTTCTATCCCCCCAATGACCACAAAGAGACTTAGGACTGCTGCCTAGGTAACTGGAAAGCTGTCTCACTTCTCCTTAAATTTATCCTTCTCAGATCTGATGATGTTTGATGACTAGGTTATCAGTTTAACAGCCCCAATCCCAAGATTTTATATATATATGCCTTCCAAATACAGACAGGTATGCCTTATTCACAGACTTCATGGTACAGAGTAGACTGGTTTCAGATATAATTCCAGAGGTACAAAGTTTTAATACTGATAAATGCAGCTTTGATAAACTAATAGAACATTGACTACAAAGAGTTCTTAAATGGATTGTTATTCCTTTTGCCATGATGTAAATCCATTTCAGCTGTCTTACAGGTACCTACAGGCTCCTGGGAAAAGTTGTGCTAACTGCATCAAGAAATCTGGTCTAATGAAAACTAACTATCTCCATAGTTCATTTCTGACCCCCACCTATTTTTCGAGCATATTCACAGATTCATTGTTCCTGCCTGACCTCCAGGTAAACAGCAGATGCCATGGCTTCTATACTCCTGATCTGGTGTGCCATTTCCCCCCAAGCTCCTGGAACACCGCTGCTGCCTCCTCAGCCCTCTCAAGGAACACTCCTTAGATCTTCTGCCATTCTCTTCCCTCCCCACTTCACCCTTTGTCAGCTTGAAGCAGTCTCGGGAACTCAGCGCCCTTGTTCTCCCACTTGCTTCCATTCATCTCTTTTTATAATAATCAAAACAGAGGAATGTTAATATGCTGACCCACCCCTTGAAATTCCCTCCACTTGGGGCTGCCCTGTATCCTGATGTAAAGGAAAAACCCCTCGCCTTCCTCTCTCTCTTTCTCTCCACTCCCATAAGGTGTACACCCCTCAATTTTTTTCTCTCTCCCTCCCCTCCCCTCTCTCTCTCCCCCCCTCTTTCTTGTGGTGACATATTGTGTACCCTAATAAACTTGCCTGACGATCAGAGGGCAGAGCCAGCCACTAGGTTAGACAGAGGCCAGCCAGCGGAGGCACACACCTTTAATCCCAGCACTTGAGATCTCATGCCTTTGCTTGGGAAGCACACACGCCTTAAATCCCAGGAAGTAATATGGCAGGGCAGGGAAGTGTATATAAGGTGTGAAGAAACAGGAACTTTCTCTTTAGGCTGAGGATTTCATAGAGGTAAAAACTAGTGTCTGGCTGCTCTGCTTCTCTCATCTTTCGGCTTTCACCCTGATATCTGGCTCTGGCTTATTAAAAGACCATCTAAGATACGAACAACACTTTCTCTCTCTTTACTGCCTCGTTCCTATCTTTTCTTTCTCTTTCTATTATAACAAACCATTTCCATGCAAATGCAGTGTCTGGGTTGTAAATGTCCACCCGTTGTTCCACTGCCATGCCTACATGGCATGGGTCACCGGCCAGCCTGCTGCTGCATCTGCCCAGCATGCTAGCATGTTTCCCTGCACATGTGGGATACCCTTGGGGTTCCCGTGCATAATTCATAACAAAAACAAGAGTTAAAAGACATTTGGTGATGACTAGGGGGTGGGGAGTGGGGGTTTGGTGGTGAGATGGTTTAATGCAATGGTTCTCAACCTGTGGGTATCAGCCACTTTGGTAACTCCAATCTCCAAAAATATTTACATTACGATTCATGACAGTAGCAAAATTACCGTTATAAAGTAGAAATGAAAATAATTTTATGGTTGGGGTCACCACAACATGAGGAACTATATTAAAGGATGGCATCACTAAGAAGGTTGAAAACCGCCGGGCGGTGGTGGCACACGCCTTTAATCCCAGCACTCGGGAGGCAGAGCCAGGCGGATCTCTGTGAGTTCGAGGCCAGCCTGGGCTACCAAGTGAGTTCCAGGACAGGCGCAAAGCTACACAGAGAAACCCTGTCTCGAAAAACCAAAAAAAAAAAAAGAAGGTTGAAAACCACTGGTTTAGTGGGCAAACGAACTTGCCACTCAAAATGGGCATGGTGGCGAACACCTTTAATCCCAGCACTCAGGGAGGCAGAGGTTGGTGGATCTGAGTCCAAGGCCAGTGTGGTCTACAAAGTGAGTTCCGGGCCAGCCAGGGCTATTACACAGAAAATCCCTGTCCCAAATCTGATGAACAGACTTCCTTCCAATCCAGGAACTCACCAGCCGGATGTCGTGGTATACATCTGTAATCCCAGCACTCCTACTGTAAAATGGGAGGCAAAGACAGAAAAATAAACTGAAAACTTGTGGGCCCGCTGCCATGGAATACTC